ATTATATCTTCAAAGCAGAATAGAGGCAAATTTAGTAGCTGTGTGTCTCCGATACTCAAAAAAAGCAACTGTCCCATAATCGTCTACCTCTAATGAGCTTGCATCTTTCTCTTCCTCTCAACATGGCCCATCTGGCAAGATGGACAGCATACAAGTTTAATAAATAAAATACATAAAAATTACTTGCCCACTGTAGGAGGTCTTCCAGTGAGCCAGTGACTTTACTAGAAAGAGTAAATTACTCAGGCTATTTTTAAATAGATTTTCTGGATTTGGAGTGGGATGAACAACATCCCATACACTCCCATTCCTACTTTTATTTTGGTGTTTTTGAACTAAAAATTACATCACTGAGAAATGGCCATTTCCCCACTAAAATCTGGCAGCACAATCTAAGAATGCTTTGGGAGCCACAAATGGAGGATTACAAGTGCAAAGGGGACATACATAGGGACCAGGCAACCTACCTATATAAAAGACAAAATCACTGGAAACCATATACTTTCAAATCTCTTTCAGAACTACAGTATTCGTATCCTCAGGTGACTCTTTAGTCAAAGCCTATTCATAACAAAACCAAGTCAATCCAAAATCTGAATTATTTGAAATCAAAGAAACAATGGTTCCTATTTTTTTTTAAAGAAAACCTTGTTCTTCTGTGTACGATAGTAATTAAAGTCATTTCTATGCTATCAGTAGCTATCTTAAAGCAGAGATGAAACTTAAACAAAAAACATTCCAGTCGCATTACCCAGGTGGCTTTGGGAGGTGGAAATGAATCCAACACAGGATGTTATCACAGCCTAAAACAGCTGATGCCATTCCTCTCCTCCTTTGTGTGTGTGTGTGTGTGTGTGTGTGTGTGTGTGTGGGTGGGTGGTGGGTTGTTTTTTTTTTGACACCTGTTCTTTCTTGTTTGTTCTCCTTTCTTAATTGTTCCCCTTTCTGTATCTCATACTCTTTCAGATGCCATGTTCTCTCTCCCAAGCTACCGGGGGAAGAGAAGCAACAGATAGCTTTGGTCAAAGGGTGGATCAAATTGTTTCCAGCGGACTTTTGAAAGTGAGCCAAGAATGGCATATGGCCTTAGACCACATGGTTCTCATTGCTAAAATAAAGGTTGATAGTTTTAAACCGACCAGATACAATGTACCTATTATACAAAGGTTTCAACCTAGCATTCTCCAGATGCACTGAACACAAATCTCATCAGCTATGTCAAGTATTGCTAATTAGGGGTGTCAAACTCGATTTCATTGAGGGCCACAGCAGGGTTGTATTTGACCTCGGGGGCCAGGGTGGGTGTGGCTGGGGTGGGCATGGCCAGCTCAATATCACTCTTGTCAGGGGCACCTGTGGTGGCCTGAGCACTCTGCCAGTGAAAATGGACTCCCAAGCTCCATTTTGGGCTGTGACGGCCTCCTACAATCCTCTGCCAGTAAAAACGGAGCTGTTTTTGCTGAGAAGCACCACAGGCCGGTCCTTTGCTGTTTCCAGGGTAGCCCTGCAGGCCAGGTCTAAGCACCCCAGCTTGACACCCCTGCTATGGACAATGGAAGTTGTAGCTCATCACTTACAGAGAGGACCAAGTTGGACTTTCCTTGGCTTACCATTTTCTCTTGGAACTATATTTTTTTCTATTTATCATAATTGCTATTTCCTATTTATCATAATTGCTGTTTCTAATCTAATAATTGTTTGGAACAGCTTCCCCCCCCCTTTTTTTTTGTTTAAAATTTGCAAGGTTTTGGCTCCCCCTCCCACCCATGCCTCCTATTTACTAGATTCTAGGATCCTGTGGGATGCCTACTTTACTGTGAAAGTTCTTACTAATTTGGCAAGGGGCTGTTGCTGTAGCAACTTGCTGCCCTAAAAATACTGCATTCGTTAGGGAGCTTCACTGCAACATTTTGTAGCCACGTTTTCTATTTCCTTTTGTCTGCTTGATACCGTTCAATTCAGTACCATACTTTTCAATTCAACCACCATTTTTCTTTGGGCAAGAGCTGGATTTTAGGACATCCAATTTTTGGAAGAATTGTAAGTCCTATTTGATGCTCTGGTAGGAGAGTCCTAGAGTTGTCCTGGGTTGTCCTCAACTACTTCTTTTAGTAACTGTTCAAAGTTGCAATAGCAACTTTGAAAAAAAAAAAAGACTTGGTCCCCACATTTACAATTGTCGCGACATCCCTACAGTTACAGGATTGAAATTGCTTGGCAACTGGATTGTGTTTTTGACATGTGGAAAGGGAACTTCATGAGGACAGTGGTGACACCCAAGCAGGAAAAGCCCAGAGGGAACATCAGGACAGCCATAAAACAAACTGGCATAGGAAAAGAGATTTAATAAAAGGTATTGAAAGAAGCCCCCTAGACAAAAGCCAAGTAATTAAGAAAGCTAGGGAAACAAGAAAAAGAAATCCCTTACAAACAACAGGTCATGCCAAATCAGCAAAACAAATAGACACAAAATATATTGCAAAGGAGACAGACAGGAGATTGCCACAAAACAAATATAAGAAAACATTAAGACGAAACTGATAATCCAATCAAACCACCACGTGGAGTTTACCCTCCGGTGGAAATGAAGACAACCCCTGACAGGATTTAAAACATTAAGAAATACAAACACAAGCACACACACACACAAAAGGAGAAAAGGTATAAAAAATCAGGGGCTTATCATACAAAGCGAGCTAGCCCCAGGAACGCAGACTTCTTGCTATCTCTCGCCTTCCTGAAAAATAAAAAGAACCAGCTTTCAAGCAGTTGTCTGTATCCTTGCACCGGAGCTCTCCCAGCAGGAAAATGAATCCTCAGAAGAAAGGCATTTTAAGCAGCCTTTCAACAGACAGTTGCAGCATCCTGAGGTCATGTGGTCACCATTTACGACCGTACTAGGCAGCTTCTGACAAGCAAATGGGGAGATCTGGATTTGCTTAACAACCATATGATTCACTTAACAATTACAATTATATACATACACACACTTGGTTATTTCATTTCGATGTTAATATATCTGATTTTAACAAGTTTTTTTTTCTGTTTTGACCTGTAAATGACTGAGAGACCTCAACAGCTGGCTGGTTAACAAGGTTAATTAACAGACAAAATATCTGCAATGCCTTCATTTGTAATGTTTTTCCCCCATTACAATGCCACAAGTTCCAGGTTACCTTAAGGGAATGAGCCAGTGGAACTCTTTGGTTAATTAAGATCTATGGGTAATGAAATTAGATCTTGCTAAGAGTTTTCTACCCTTTCTTGGTTGCTCTTAGGAAAAAGACAGGAAAGCCACAAGGGGAAAGACAGAAGGAAACTATGAGTCAAAAGGAGCAAGGTGTGTGAGAGAAAATTGCCTGCAGCGGGAAAAGAACAAGATTTTCTCCTCATCTCTGCAGTTACAGAATTCTCTCTCCAAATGTTCTGCCATCGAAGTTTCAGATCAACTTGAACTATCACTTAAAGCTGTGAATTGCATTCTTCATGCTTCTAAAAAAAATTCAAAGTGGGTGGGCCTTATGTTGTCTGTGCTTAGACACCGATTTGTGGTGTTAGATTTTTTTTTTTCTACTGCAAACCATCTTAGTGTTTCCACAGTTCCTGTTAGACCTATAAAATGCCTTGGAAGCATTCTTTGCTCCAGGAGACAATTTACACGAGATCAGGATGTGCTTAACTCAGTTTCCTCTATGCAATGGGAGGAGGGGGTTGGACAATTTGTCAGTGCATAAGCTAAACAAACTGCAAAGCTGTTTGAAGAACAAGTAAACTAATTTCCTCAGCAAGATAGCTAATATTTTGTAAAGAGACAAAAATGAACTATTAATGGTCTGGTAGATGTATTCTGTCTCAAATGTTTCTAATATAATTTCAAAATACTGTTTTTCTACTTCCATTATAGCAAAACAAAGTATTCAATAACAGCATTCGGAAAATATTATCTTAGGAAATATTTGACCAACCATGTCTCCTTCAGATAATATTTGTTGGTGATACACAATATATTTATAAAAGCTAGCATTTGCTGTTAGTCTTATTTTATATATCTTAACTTTGGCAACAGCCTGGATAAATTCATTAAGAGCTTAACGATGCTTCAAGTTACCAATTCTCCTTTTTCTGTGCTATAAATGAACTATTCTAAAAATTGATGAGAAAATTAAGAATAAAATATAGTGAATTTGCCTCTTTCTTTTGAGAAATGGAAATTTCAGGATTCAAAGCTAGTTCAAAGCAACAAAAAAGGAGTAAGTTGATTCATTAATAAAATTCTTTAAAAAGTTTATCATGACAGCCAACACAGTGTCAAAGTACGATCCCTTTCTTTATGTTGGTTTTCTGGGGTTTTTTGGTTCCCTGTAATTGAAATATAAAATCCAGTTTCTATTAAGTCATTTAGTAGAAGAAATCTACATAACCGCATATTTTATCTGCTTTGGCCTCCCTTGTCTCCTCCTCTCTTTCCATACACAGCAATAGATGTGAATATACCCCCAGATGCACCCTTGAAAACAAAACCAACTTACAAAATCAGATTTGAAAATATTCAATATTCACAGTGCCCTTGTTCAGTCATTAATAATGCATCAATGAACATGATTGCAAAGTGTTTAATAACAGGATTTATTTATTTAAAGCAGATTAACTGAAGTATAAGAAGGAGGGAAAGAAAGAAAGAAAGAAAGAAAGAAAGAAAGGAAGGGAAGGAGGGAAGGAAAGAAAGGAAGGAAGGAAGGAGGGAAAGAAAGAAAGGAAAGAGGAAGGAAGGATGGATGGAAGGAAAGGAGGGAAGGAAAGGAAGGAAGGAAGAGAAGGAGGGAAGGAAAGAAGGGAAGGAGAGAAAGAAAGGAGGGAAGGGAAGGAGGGAAGGAAAGAAAGGAAGAAAGAAAGAAAGGGAAGGAGGGAAGGAAAGAAAGAAAGGAAGGAAGGGAAAGAAATAAAGAAAGAGGAGGGCCAAAATAAGAGCAAACATCCTGGAAATCGCCCTTCCTGCCCCATAAAGAGCCACCCACAGGTCAGCCCACGTGGCAGCCAGACTGCCCAGCAAAGGAGGCGAGGCGGCTGCCTCGGGTTTTTCTGCACCCGGCGCAAAAGAAGACAGGTGAGTGCTGGGCCGCCCCAATTAGGATGGTTCAGGGCGGCGGGATTGCAGGTGCGAGCAGGTCAAGCAAAGGGGCGGCGAGGGAGAGTCGCCCCTCGCGCCCGCCTGAAGAGGGAGGGAAGTCGGCGTCTAAGGGGCAAGAGCGGGAAAGACTCAAGCAAAGCTTCGGAGGAGGAGGAGGCGCTTTTCCCTAATTTCCCAAATCCCTAATTTCAGGACAGGCTCTGAATGGGTCCGCCTGAAACGGGAGGGGAGGAAAGTTGGGACAGGTGGCTCCCGGATCCAGGAAACCGCCGCCGCCCGACGTCGCAGCGTGGGTTGGGTCTCTTTCTTGGCAGGCTGCCTCATCACGGTCCATAGGAGCCAAGCCCGCCCAAAGTGGCCTCCACCCCACACGGGAAAGGCTGCCCTCTCCGCGACTGCAGTTGACTGCGTGGGTGAGGACGGGTCGCGCGAACCCCTCGGCCGCCTCTTCCCAGCGCGCAGTTTAAAAGTCTCCCTCTCAAACGCCCACTTAGAAAAATAGCCGGTATTTTGTTACAGTGGAAAAACCAGAGTTTCTCAACCTTGGCAGCTAGAAGACGTGTGGACTTCACCTCCCAGAATTCTCCAGCACAGCACAGCTAGCTTGAGGAATTCTGGGAGTTGAAGTCCACACGTCTTCAAGTTGCAGTCCAAGCAGTTGAATAGGCGCAGTAACCATGTCTTAGGAAGATTTTATTAAAGATTTTATTATTTAAGGGCCTTAAAATGAACAAGGCTGCAGGCAGCCCTGTAAACTGGGAACTTAGAGCTCCATGGGATTTTTTTTGGAGTGGGAGGGTGCATTGTGACTAAGTGAGTAGAACATGATTGCCTGTCGTACAGACACTGGCTATAACAGACTTGACCATTCATATGTGGGAATGACACATATGCCTACTTTTGCCTATGATCATATACTACAAGCAAACACAGCACATAAGATTTAGGATTTATTTATTTTTAGCAGTATTAACATCTTCATCATTTTGGCAAATTTACTGGACAGGGTCCCCAGGTTTCTATAATCAGGACCAAGCTCTGATCCATACAAGCATGGATCTGTTAGGCTCAGTACTGTCTATGTGGATCATCTCTACAGGAGTTCTTAAAGTTTGACTTTTTCCTATTCCCATGTGCTTACATTATGTTGAATTCCAATATTGCATGATCACTCACTCCCAAGGTTCCTGTAATTTTCAACCCCTTCCATAATTTCATTTGTTAGTGAGAATTTTGTTAGTGATAAGTCCAGTATGGTTGACCCTCTTGTTGCCTTCTCTATCTTTTGGGAGACAAAGTTTGTCAGGAATTTGTGTGATCTTCCACTTGGTTCAGAGTTTGTTTCCCAGTTAACGTCAAGATAGTTAAAATCCCCTTTGTTATTGTGGTGTGCTTCCAACAGGCACCTTGGAGCTCAAATCGGAAAAGCCACCAGTTACTGTATCTTGTTCTAAGGCCATTCTCTTTTGTGATGGATGTGGAACTATTTTCACATTGGAGATTGGTCAGTTTTTTTCATTAATTTAATTCAGCTTTTATATTACCTGAACTTTTTACTGCACAAGTAGTCTTTAAAATACATGTTTCTAGAATTGCAAATTTTGATCCAATTGCTTGTTTAATATAAATTAAATATTGACAACCTGGCTGTCTCTGATAAAGCTACCATATTCAGACTAAGATCATTAGATAGCAGCAGAGACATTCATCTTTCAGGCCAGGTGATAGCCCTAGCATTGGGTAATAAACAGGTGTACTATTTTTGGACATGCCTAAGCAATAGATCTAATAACTATATAGACCAGACTATGATAAAGTAGCATATCAAGATTGTGCTTGCTTCTCAGCAGCAGAGAAGCAATAGAGAAACCAAGACAGACTAACCTTACCAGGCTCCCACCTTTGTAAATAGGTCAGAGAAATTAATATAAAATCCATTGTAGACAAGGTCTTTGAATAGACTCTTAAAAACATATTTATAAGCACTTGGAGAGTAATGCAACAATTAACAAGAGCCTGCAAGGATTTTGCACAAACAGTCATTCCACGTTAACCTTATCTTCTTTTTTGATTGACATATTATCTTATTAGATTGGGGAAAGTGCTGTGGACAAAGCATATCTTGATCCCATCAAAGCATTTGACATTAATACAATGGTAGAATACGGTCTCGATAGAATTCTTAATGGATTCGTACTTGGCTGAACAATTGCATTCAGAAATACTTACAAATAGCTTGACATTGGAAAGTTCTACTGTGTTGAATGCAACAGGATTCGGCCCTGGGCTCTGTGCTATTCAATGATTTATTAATAAGCTGGATGAAGCGGTTGAGTAAATGATTACCAAATATGCAGCTGATCTAAAACTAGAAGTGGATGATGCTTTAGAAGTGAAGGAGAAGATTTTAAAAATTCTAGACAGGTTTGAACAGTGGGCTGAAGCAAACAGGATTAAATTTAACACAGATAAATATAAAATCTTGCATGTGATGAGGGAAAAAAAAGGTACAAGTACAGATGGGGGGAGAGGATCTGGCTTGGCAAAGTAATGAATAGAATTTGGATGTTCTAGGAGATCACATGGTAAGCATGAACTCAGCGGTGTGATGCACTTGCTTTTTTAGGAGGTATTAATGGAAACAGAATCCAGATCACAAGAAGCAGTTATGCCACTGTGCTTTGCCTTGATCAGACCCTAGTGTTTAATTCTGTGTATTGTAGTTCAGAAAGGACAGTGGCAAACTGTAAGTTCAGAGGAGGGATGCAAGATGGTGAGAAGATCAGAAACCAAGTTATTTGAATAACAGTTAAAGAGATAGGTATGTTTTTTAGCTGCAGATGCAGGAATTGTTGTGACATCCTGAATCTTTTTGATAGACAGAGAAGCTATGGAACAAACTTTAAAAAGTTATTAAGGACGAATATGAAAAGAGGCTGCCAAAAATGAATATCCAGCCTCTCATTCCCCATCAATTGTTCAAAACAATCTGGTCTTTACCAGCTAGTGGTTTGCTCTGGGACTTTAGTGGAACACTATAATAAAGCTAAATGCAGATGTGTATATTTTTTATTTGTATATATGAATGGGACAGCAATGATGAATGATCACATATACATAAAATCAGGAAAAATCCCCTTCAAATAAAAATCTCAGCAACATTTCCAAATTGGTGGCTGAACCCACAAAAAAATAAGCCAAATAATACAAGACTGAAGTTACAGTAACAGCTGCTTGAACAAAGAAAAGTTTTAATACAGCTGTGTAAAACTATTGTCTGATGAAGTCCCAAGGAAAATAGAACCTTACTAAAAAGAGAACATTTGCAAAGTTATCAGCAATTCAATGAGAGCTCCACAGATGTATTGAAAGATTTCCAAAAGTTTATTGATAATAAGTAAAGACACAGTCAAATTCAGTTGAATACACTCTCATTTAAGAGGAAGGCTCACTGTATATCACAGTAACCCATACTGCTTCAGTACAGCAGAACCGGCCATTTATAACTTATTTGTAAACCATTATTAGATATAGCTCATTTATTTATTTATATGATTTATAGAAACACCCATCTCACACAAGTGATTCAAAACACAGAAAATCCACCACATAGTACAGCTTAATTTAGTGTAATATGTGAACCAGCTCCAAGTTTTATAGGATTTTTACATAATACATATGAAGTCAGGCAGCTAATTTTTCTGAAAAAAATCCTGTTTCAGACTAAATTCATATGGATGTCATGTGCATATCCTGTTAAAGAAAGGCTAGGCATAAAAAAACTGGCTCACAGACAGTTCTTGCTCTGAGATCAAAAGACCTTTGCACGCAATCATGTTACACCTTTAATAATTGTCTATCTGTTCCCTGGCAGCTAGAAACAGATGGGGAGAGAAAGAGAGAAAGAAAAAGAAGTCAAATATTAAAGTGAATGTTAAAGGAGACTGAGTTTCATCCATCACTTTGGGCTTCTCAGCCATCCTTTGAAAATTAGTTGGTATCAATTTTCATATTTTTCAGAATGCTAGAACAATTGCTTTCTGTATATGCATTTCTCTTCGTGAGTTACTTGACTTTTTTTTCCCTGAATGCCACATCATTACAGTAAACGGATCCCTTGGGAACATAAAGCATTCCAATGGATGCGCCTAGAAATATTCATTTGATTCTTGCTTTTTCTTGGAAGCATTTTACCATGCCAAATGAATGTTGGAAATAATGGTGAAGCTTTTTGCAAAATAAAATTTCTGCTTACAGCTTTCTGTTGGATTCTTTTTAAAAGCAGCCTGACATTTTACTTTCCTTACTGATTTGCATAAAAAAATTTCCTTTGTGTTGTAAGTTCATCACTCCCTGCTGCTCTCTTCCCTGTGTGAAGCCACAGTAACGCTGAAAAAAAAAAAAAAACAGCAAGGGTGGTGGTGGCTTGCAAAGATTCTTTCTTTCCACTGGAGGGGAATAAGCACTGGGAAATCAATGAACTTTAACTGCTTCAATTCAGCTTCACAGGAAGTTTGTCAGCCAGTATGATTTGTGAACCCAGTTTCCCAACACAGTTTAGCGCACTAGATAAACTCAGGGGGCAACAAGCAGCTATAAGACAGAAAGGATAAGGAGAAATATTGCCCCAATTGGAAGGCAAGATGGCAAGATTTGAGCTTCAAGTTGATAATCAGGTTGTTGCAGAATTACAGCGATGATCAACTCCAGATAATCTGGATAGGGATACTGGCAGTTCTAGATAATATCTGGAAATCATAAGCTCCTTTTCCAGGTGCAAGAAAAGAATAAATAAAACCATTGCTCTTCTGCTATATGCTCAACAAAGTCTTTCCATCTTCTTTCCTAAAACTAAGAATGTTTAGTTTTACATTCCTTCCATCTGCTAACTCATGGGCAGTGTTTTTCTTTATCACTCTCTTTTGGGTGTCTCCGCATGTAGCAGCTTCTACCTGACTTTCTATGGGGTTGGAAGCTAAGTAGGGCTAGACCTTCTTGCATAGATCAATTCCCTGGTTTCCCATAGGAAATTCAGAGCTATTGACAAGTTGAAAAACATCCTGGAAAAAAGTGCATATGGCAAACCCACACTGCTGCCAAGAATATTTAATGGCTATCAAGCTTGACTTGAAGATGTATTTATTTTTCATGCTGGTGCACTGTGAAGCATTAGGGAAGCAAGTCCGCACAGCGGGGACAAGTAAAACCAGATCTAGCCTTCACATAGGTGCATAATAAGCCTTAATGTCTTTTTCAGGCCATCATATCATACAAACAATTTATAATATGCTATTTTTATTTCCAGTTTTATTCTTTCACTTCAGTGAAACCTGGTTGTGTCAATATGTGTTAAGGTGACAGTAACCTGAGTTTCTGCCAAGCCTGGCTGACATAAAGCCATGAAACATCTGCTGGGCACATCTTACTCCTACAAGGATTCATCTGGGCATGATAGTTGACCTGGAGCTCTCCCTGCAGTGGCTTATCTTTGTCATGGCAGAACCATCCAATGTGAAAAGCAGAACATTTCTGCCCCATGTCCGGACCAGCATGAGAAGTGATGGGCATGTGCAAGAACTTTTTCTTGAAGAAGCCAAACAGGTATGTTAAGAAGGCTTATATTTTATATATCAACCGAGTTCTGCCTTCTGAGACCTTGCAGGACTAAGAGCATAATGGAATACAGCTAGACCTAAACATAATACAACTATAAGACAGCCTGCTCCTTATGGTCTTTTGCATAAAATGTGTTGGTCATATGACTGGCTTGATTTTCCAATGGTTGTTAAGTGAACGCCATGGTTGTTGTATGAACATCACAGTCGTAAGTACAAATCCATTGTTCACTAAGAACACTTGGTTTACTGTCAACCAGAACCGGCAGTTTTCAGCAAAACCATTGCAAAAAGCAATCGTGATTGCAGGATGCTGCAAATAGCTATGAATGTGTTTGTGTTGCCAAGTTTCTGAAGAGCAGTCACATAACTGTATCAGCACTTCAGATAAGAGTTGTAAGTCCCTTTTTTCAGATAGGTTGTAACTTTTGTTTGCTAAACGACTGGTTGTAAGTCAAGGACTAACTATAATTGTGTGTCCAATCACATTTGGCCAATAAAGTATTCTATTCTATAAAGATTTTTTCCCTTTTTTTCATATCAATTTTTTTTATATACTATGAAATTGGTCCATGCTAATTCCTAGCTTTTTACAAAATAATTAGATCATCAATTTAAGAATTAAAAAAAAGGTTGCCACCAATCACTCCTAAGAGATTAATTGTACAATATTTTATTTTCCTTCTTTTAAGACCAAGAGAGTAGTCTGCTCACACATAGTGTGGCAAGTATAAATGCTGAACAAAATTTGGAAAACTATCTCTCTTCAAGGAAGTCATCTTGTGTTTGTGACAGAATTCTGGTGAAATAACCATCCATAAAAACTTTCAACATCATTTATCCAGAATCTTTCTCGAAATAGAGTGGATTCACAGATGGTACTAAACGACAGGTCGCCCTTGACTTCTGACTGGTTCCTTAGTGATTGAAGTTAAGATGGACCTACTTGGGGATATTTATAGTGGTGGATTAAGGCTCACTGGTGCCCTAAGCACTGACAAATCTTGGTGCCCTTCTCCTTTGTACATACAAGATTTTTTTACAAATCTTCATTGTTTTTTTCCCCCTCAACTTTGTGGTGCCCACTTTGGGCCTGGTGCCCTAAGCATGTGCTTAGTCTGCTTAATATTGTCCCCATACCCCTGGTCACATGACCACAGTTCAGTGTTCGGCAGCCATATTGTAGTTGTTGGTAGAATCCCACAGTGACATTACTGCATTTTATGATGGTTTGGCCCCAAAGCATCATTTACTACTGGTTTTTGACAAAAATGGCCCATAGCAAACCATGGATTTGTTTAATGACCGTACTGTTCACTTAACAGCCATCATAAAAAAGACAAAATCAGATCAGGTTCATGGGTAACCCTATTTACAACCATGACAAATTACAATCGTGATGGGCAGGCTCCAATACAGTCTTAACTTGAGGACTACCTGCATAATGGTTACATCTAATACAGATTTTGTGATTGAAAGCTGTGCAAAACATTTGTATGAGTTGTTTCACAAGACACGGGAACTGTGTAAAAACCAGAGGTGCTTCACTGCTTCAAAAAGAGGATGTCCCTCTCTGATTCCGTATATTGCAAATGTCTCATTCAAATACTTTGCATAGACCTAGTGTGGCTTCAGTCACTATTGAGTGTTCAATAAGCCATGATTAAACTCTAACTTATGATGTGCAAACTTAGATATAAAAAGCTTTGGTGTGTATGTTCTGGTACAAGGTATTTGGCATGTATGGATTTTTCTACTGCTTTGGTGCCATATTTAGGAAGCTGACAAATTAAAAGTAACTTGAAAGTTTTTTTTTCTCTTCAGGGTTATCAGACATCTAACAAACCTTGGTGGAAAATACAACTTTTTGTTTGGGAACCAGTGCTTTTTGGAACATGGGATGGAGTCTTTACTTCCTGTATGATTAACATCTTTGGAGTAGTTCTCTTTCTACGGACAGGTTGGCTAGTTGTAAGTATATGGGATTAAGCAATAACTCATAGGGGTTATTGCGCTGTGTGGTTTCATTTTTGCCGCTCTTTTAAAAACAATGTGTGCACTTGTCCTTGACTTACAACCATTCATTTAGTGACCATTCAAAGTTACAACACATTGAAAACAGTGACTTAGGAGCAGTCCTTGTACTTATGACAGTTGGAGCAACCCCGTAGTCATGTGATTAAAATTCAGGTGCTTGGAAATCAGTGTGCATTTGAGCATCCCATGGTTACACGATCACCATTTGCAACCTTCCTAACTGGCTTCTAACACATGAAGCCAATAGAAAAAGTCATCTTTGCTTAATGACCACATGATTCACTTAACAACTGCACTGATTCACTTAAAAAAAACACAGCAAAAAAGATCTAAAATTGTGCACCCCCTGGTTTAGCGGTGGAAATTTTGAATCCCATTGTGGTCGTAAAGGGGAAGGCTACTTGTATAAAAATTGCTTCCCTAAAAAAAAGCAAATTGCAGAAACAAGGGGCATCTTTTCTCAGACCTTTTTTAAAGCATCGAATGCATGTTGCTCTGCAGAACTATTACCAGCTGCTCCACTGGCAGTTATTGTTAGCTTTTTAAACAGCTTGTTAACCAATGCATAATGAAGAAGAGAGATACATCATTAGAATACTGGCAAACAGCTCATCCTACAACCAAATTAAGAATGCAAAGCTGGGGGGGGAAGACTGTTAAAGCAATGAGCTGTGTGATTAACATTTTTCCCTATTGCTTTTGCCTTAGAATCAGATAATTGTAGATCAGTGTGCTGTGAGCATCAAGGTTTTACCCTGGAGGTAATTAGGATTGTTCCTCTCCCCCCCCACCGCCAAGAATCCCAGACATAATTTGTGCGCTACATGTCTTTTATTTTATTTACTTAATCTTTGGTTGGACTGTGCTGTGATATAATGTGAATGTCAAGGATTTATATGTTGGAGTAGCTGAAAGAACAATCCAGCTTGTCAATAAGATGCATGGAATATATATCCTTTTGATATATCTCCTACATAATGAATTGTGCTCATTGTGTTAAAGCCAAGAGGGGTTTGTGCTGACTTAACTACAGCAGCATTTCATGTGTTGAAAATGGCAAAACTCTATTGTCCCAAAACACCCCAGCCCTGATATTACCAAATGTTGAGTTCATTTGGTAGTAACAGCTTGCTAAATTCTCAATATTTAGTAGCAACTAGGTTGATACTTTGGCAGAATATATTTCTATCACTGATACAGCTATAATAGATGTGGGTAACAAAATGGCTTTTGCCTGGTGTGTCAGAAAATAATTCTTAATGCCACCATTCGAACGACCAACCAACAAGCAACCCAATCAGCTTCTCAGAATTTAAATATAGCTCCCAATGAACAATCAACCAATTGTTGACCAACTGACCAAACTGGCACAAAAGACATTTATAAGCTAAGGAGAATAGGAAGATCCTGCTGGTGATGTTACCTAGTGTGGTGACAAAATGTTCAGAAACTAAATCGAAACAAGACTGGAGAGCAAACAACTGCCAAGGTGATGATGGTACCCAGATCAGTAAGCTGTATATTTTCAACAACCCAGTTATTGGTCTGCATCATCTTATAAAATCATCAGACTTGGCTATAGCATCCATCCCTGGCCTTCTTTTAGTTCTCTTTCCCAGGTTTTCTAAAAAATTAATCTTGCTGAAATAATTCAAAACGAGTTCAGAATAAGCTGCATAATATTGCAGCTCCAATAGCCATTTACAAAAGTTTAGAGATAAAACTGAAATGTCCATTTTTCTCAATATTTAAACACTGACAATTAAAATATGATAAGAGTTCTTATAGCTGTGTTGATACTTTGTTTTCTCCTGTTTTTCTATGAATGTAAAAATAAAATATCTTGGAATAGTTGTAATAAAGCTGATTAAAAATAACTGTTCAGGTGAAACATGTTGCCATAGAAACATATTTTTCCAAACATTAAAGAATTTGGTATCATCTCAGGTAATGGCTGTAAAATAGTAATCCAACTCATTTTTAAAAAATATATCAAATATATTTCTTTTGCAACATTTTTCCTGATTTTATTAAATATTTCGTCAGAATTATTGGTATGTGTGTGTCACATTCAAAAGTTGAAATTTTCATAAGAGTTTTATAAGTAGGCCAACCTGTTGAAATTAATGGATGCCATGTAACCCAGTATAAACTAGGGTTTGTATTAAAACAGCACTATTGTTGATGGTGGTAATTGCATTTCCAAAATTCTACAAATATTTGGCTGCTGTGCAAAAGAAATTTATATAGAAATTAATAAATAAACTCATATAAGACTCCTGTTTCCAAGAATATGTGAGTTTATATGCTGGACTCTAAATCAGATCACAAATTTTTCACTGCAAGTGGCAGAAACTGAGATGGACTAGGTTCGTCCTTAGTTGAAATATTTCCAGCTTGGATGGTCTTAGTATTTTTCTTTACCCTGTGGCTTTCTGTGTTTTCTACATCCAACTAATTGTGGTTTATATGAACCATAGTTAATCAACCATTGCTTAGCAAATGCATGGGTCCATTTGTTCATTGTTACAAAAGTCATTTTTCTGATTTTCTGATAAGCCTCCATTCAATGTTATTACTTCTGTTGCTGAATCCTGTCTTATTTTTCTGTATCTTTTTTGCAAACCAGTGTCTACTCAGAATGCAGCTGCATTCATGAAATTCTATTTCAATTTCTTGCCCCCACTGTGTTAGATGACAGCTGTAGAAGATCAAGGAGAACTGGAGCCAGGACTCAGCATGTTCACATCTGCCGGCATCTAGTCCTTTTATACTCCCTCCCTAAAGGGCTATTTTTGAAAAGGAAAGCATTGTTGCAGCTTGCATCATGTTTTTTTAAGTTATGTGTACTGGATATATATTTCAAATGGGCAATGAACCTAGAGTGCTACTTAAATATGTTGATGGTATAAGTATAGTCTAACATACTCTGCACAAAGCAACAATTAGCCAGAAAGCTTAAAATCACTTCCCCTTCTGGAGAGCTGCTACAGGAAGGAACACCACGCCTGCTCGATAAGAGTAACACAGAGGGCGCTTTGAAGAAGAGCTGAAGGAAGCAAAAGGCTTGGATTTGTTCACAATAGGGATCTCAAAAGCTCAGAGGAAAAGTTTAAGAGATCACTTTTTTATTTACATCTACACGCTGGCAATAGTTGGAAGTCCCTCTGAGGATAAAAATGTGGAAATATAAGAACACAGGAACTTGTTCTTTCCTTATCCAAAGATCATGATGTAAAACTCTATCTGCTGTGCTTCATTTTATAAGTAGATGCCTGTGAAAGATGCAGATGCAGGGAGAGTCTTGTTGTATCTGATTATTTCTGAAAAACTAAGCATATCCCATATTCCTGTATGGCTGTTTTGGTCGTAAGAATGGTTTTCAGGAGAGTTAAATGTTGCACGTTAAAAACCCTTCTCACTTGACCTTTCTTCCTTTGCTCAAGAAAGCTAACCTTTATAGATAGTTTCAGCAAAGGACATATTTTTCAATTAGTCTTAAAAGAATCCCTACCATTTTAAACATCCCAATTCATTATGAAAGTACAGGTAGAAATGGTATGGTATCAGTGCACAAGCCAATCTTAAATCTTAATTAATTGATAACAAACAGTAGTCTTTCTGTTTGAAGTAACTTCAATGAATTCACATGGATTATATATCAGCCATCTTCCCCCAATGTGCTCCTAGTGTAGTTATTAATTTATACATCATATTCTTTTTTGCTTCAACCCTCCCCTTCCATTTCAGGGGAACACTGGAATTCTAATGGGCATGTTTTTGGTGTCCTTTGTCATTGTGGTCGCCTTAGTAACCATCTTGTCTGGCATTGGGGTTTGTGAACGATGTAGCATTGGAAACGGAGGAGTCTATTCAATGATTTCTACTGTCCTTGGAGGTCAGGTTGGAGGGACCATTGGCCTACTTTATATTTTTGGTCAGGTAAGAATGCTATTTTCTGAATATATATGAATATATATAATATATATGAATATATATAATATATATGAATATATA